AAAAAAAAAAAAAAAGAAAAAGAAAAAAATTAAAGAATAATCCCCAGGCCCTATTCTTAGAGATTCTGATTCAGTAGGTCTAAAGTGGGTTTCATAATCTGTAATTTCAACAAGTACACTAAGCTAGAGTTTTTTCCAGTTAAGAGGCCTTTTTAAACAATAAAACATGCCCATGTTTACTCCACATGAAAGTATCTATACATTTAGTGTCCATATACATAGCATCCAATGATGGAGAAGATGTATGTAGACAAATTTGGTTTCATTGTGAAACGAAATTACAAGTTAGTTACCTCAACAGGAGCTATCAGCATTAAAAAAAATGGTAGTGCACAATATAGAAGACATTTTATTTAATTTTTTTTTTTGAGACTGAGTCTTGCTCTTGAGTGTAGTGGCACAATCTCAGCTCACTGCAACTTTTGCTGCCTGGGTTCAAGCGATTCTTCTGTCTCAGCTTCCCAAGTAGCTGAGATTACAGATACACACCACCATGCCTGGCTAATTTTTATATTTTTTTAGTGGAGATGGGGTTTCCCCGTCTTGGCCAGACTGGTCTTGAACTCCTGACCTCAGGTGATCCCATCCATCTTGGCCTCCCAAAATGCTGGGATTATAGGCATAAGCCACTGCGCCCAGCTTATTTTATCTAATAACAATATAATGGACAATTAATGGGCCCTGCATGTCACATGCAATGCTTGGTTCACAGAATTATCTGCAGTCAGTCCCTTTGCACTAATCCTGTAGCCAGTAGACTGGGAACCACCACTTCCAATGGCTTAGAGGTTAAGCAACAGAGGGAGAGGAGGCCAAAATGTTTTACTGCTAGCCATCTTTGGCTAGAAGATAATCTCTGTCCTTCAAATTTGGGCTCCACCCTTTGATCTTGGGCAAGTACCTTAATTCCTTCCTTAGTTTCCAACTTGTAAAATGGAGTGAACAAGAACCTACTTTATATGGTTGTTATGAGGGATCAATGTAATACATGTACATGCTTATACAAGGCCTGGCACATAGTCAGTACTCAAGAAACATAAGCTCGGATTTCTACTACTACTACTCCTATCAGGGTAGACGGACTGATCAGTAGGTAGGAGGCAGTACATATTAATTACTTTGACAATATAATACGTATGTTAATCCAGGAAGCTCAAACATTATTTTCTCAAAGAAGTGCTCCTCATCTCATTTAAAATAGACCTCCGGTTAGGACGTGCTGACTCACACCTGTAATCCCAGCACTTTGGGAGGCTGAGGTAGGCAGATCACTTGGAGTCAGGAGTTCGAGACCAGCCTGGCCAACATGGTGAAGCCTCATCTCTACTAAAAATACAAAAATTAGCTGGGCATGGTGGCATACACCTGTATTCCCAGCTACTTGGGAGGGTGAGGCACAAGCTGCTTGAACCCAGGAGGCAGAGGGTACAGTGAGCCGAGATTGCGCCATGACACTCCAGCCTAGGCAATAGAGCAAGACCTCTGTCTCAAAAATAAATAAATAAAAAGAAAAATAAAACAGACCTCCTATTGCTATCCCTTCCTATTCTCTTATTGAGTTTTAAGTTTTCTTAACAACATCTAGAGTATTTATTTATCATCTTTCTCCTCCATCACAATGCAAGCTCCATAGGGGAAGGAAGTTACCTGCTTGGTCCGCCATCTATATTAGTGCTAGAACAGTGCTTGACACATGTTAGATACTCAATAGATATTGCTATCTTGGCTTCTTTAACTTTTTTTTAAATTAAGTGTTAAGTTAGGCCCATTGAGTAATGTTACAGATGAACCCACATTCCAGTTGACCATTCTTAAGTCTCTTTAGGGACAAGTCTACCAGTTCAACTGCAAAACCCACCATAATGTAACTGGTACACATATAGGGACTAACTGGTATTAAGCATGTTTTCATCCAATGGCAAAAGAGAAAGGGAACTTAAGGAGGACTAACTAAGTGCAGACAGGTTCACTTAGAGTATCTTACTAAATCTTTATAACAACCTTATGAACGACGTATATGTATCCATTTCCATTTTGCAGATGGGAAACTGAGAATCATAGGGGCTAAACAAAGTACATAATCAGGAAATGATGAGACAGCATTCAAATGCAGTTTGACTTCAAAACTATGGCTTTTCTCTTTCCACCAGCCTCCCATTCCCTCCAAACTACCAGGGCCAAAAAAGTTCAACAGGTCAACCCGGACAGCCTCCATACTTCTCTCATTGTTGCTGAATGCCCCTCGCAGGGAGCCACCCAGTCTCACTTCTCCGTCCTGCAGGTCGTCCAGCAGGAGGTCCTTCACGGGGATCGGCTGACGGTACAGCTGGTAGCAAAGCTGCTCATTGTGGGTGACGGCTCGAGTGATCACAAGCACTTCTTGGAACAGGAAAACGTGCAGTTTCTAGAAGAAAAGAATCCATAGGGCTTTTGCTAAGCAATAATGTAATGAGTGGCTGATTCGTGGACCTCTGTGGATAGAGAGGTCCCCAGGTACCAGGTGCACACTGGATTATGAACTCCTAGGTTCAAATCTACCTCCAGGAGAACCAGAGTTGGGCATGTCGGAGGCATTTCCAGATATGTCCACTGCGCTTCCTGTAGAAACACCTCCTTAGGGACCCAGTGGAGGAAGCCTTTTTGCCTACAGATACCTGCAGCCAGGGTTGCCAACTTTGGGGCCCCTATTCACATTGCAACTCACAACCTGTACAGACATACATGCCCCAGCTCCTATAAGAAAAAAATGAGAAAGAGGAATAGAATCAAGAAGGTGACGAACAGAAAATAACTTAGCACTCTCCTGGCTTTGGTTTACATTACTCAATATAATTCTAAGTGCTCAGGCCAGACATGGTGGCTGACATCTGGAATCTTAGCACTTTGGGAAGCCAAGGCAGGCGGATCATGAGGTCAGGAGTTTGAGAACAGCCTGGCCAAAATGGTGAAACCCTGTCTCTACTAAAAATAAAAAAATCGCCGAGGTGTGGTGGCAGACGCCTATAATCCCAGCAACCCGGAGGCTGAGGCAGGAAAATAGCTTGAACCCAGGAGGCAGAGGTTGTAGTGAGTTGAGATCACACCATTGCACTCTAGCCTGGTGACAGAGCAAGACTCTATCTCAAAACAACAAAAGAACAATAAACAAAAAAATCCCTAGCTGGTCGAGGTGGCTGGTGCCTATAATCCCAGCTACCTGGGAGGCTGAGGCAGGAGAATCATTCGAACCCAGGAGGTGGAAGTTGTGGTGAGCCAAGATCACATCACTGAACTTCAGCCTGGGCGGCAGAGTGAGGCTGTCTCAAAAAAAAAAAAAAAAAAAAATTCTAAAAGATCAAAATTAACAATAGTCTGTAAAAAATGAGACTGGTATATCAAAGCTAATATTAATCTTTGCTTCCCAAGCCCATAAAAACACTTGTTCCTTCAACCATAGAGTCATTATCAGTTTTATCCAGGAACTTCGAGTCAGAACACTGCTCGTTCCTAAGGGAACCAGAGTACGGTGCCACAGTCACAAAGAAGGATGATCAGGCCAGGTGCAGTGGCTCACACCTGTAATCCTAGTACTCTGGAAGGCTGAGGTGGGTGGATCACCTGCAGTCAGGAGTTCAAGGCCAGCCTGGCCAACATGGTGAAACCCTGTCTCTATTAAAAACAAAAATTAGCCAGGCATGGTGGCAGGCATCTGTAATCCCAGCTACTTGGGGGGCTGAGGCAGGAGAATTACTTGAACCTGGGAGGCGGAGGTTGCAGTGAGCCAAGATTGTGCCACTGCACTCTAGCCTAGGTGACAAGAGGGAAATTCCATCTCAAAAAAAAAAAAATGATGATCAACATTTTCCTTCTCAGTTAAGTTCATCAGAACAAACCTTGGTTCTCAGAAGAGGCTTAAAAAGTTGACAACTGATGTGCATGTTGTGGGCAAAAAGAAAATTGCAAAAGTGGGCTGGGCGTGGTGGCTCACGCCTGTAATCTCAGCACTTTGGGAGACCGAGGTAGGTGGATCACCTGAGGTCAGGAGTTCAAGACCAGCCTGGCCAACATGGTGAAACCCTGTCTTTAAAAAAAAAAAAAAAGAAAATTGCAAAAATGAAGGCTTGTTTCAGACTCCGTTATCAAAGCAGGTGTGTTCTGTGGGGTAAATTTGCCCCATTCAACGCTAAGTGCCAGACTCCTCTCACAGTTTGGAAGTGCTTAGCAACTGAAGTGAAAATATCCACAACTTTGCAGGTAGGTTCTAGCTCTCTGGTGGAAACATTTGGGAATGTCAATCCAGGGGTCTTAAAGGGGAGAGACCAAAAGAAGAGAGGTTCTCACTTGTAAGTGGGTGCTAAACCTTGGATTCACATGGACATAAAGACAGGAACAACAGACACTGGGGACTCTAAAAGGAAAGAGGAAGTGAGAGGGGCAAGGGCTGAAAAACTTCCTATTGAGTACTATGTTCACTGTCTAGGTGATGGGATTAATAGAAGCCCATTCTCAGCACCTGCAATATATCCTTGTAACAAACCTGCACATGCACTCCCTGAATCTAAAACAAAAATGGAAACTGAATTAAAAACTTCAGATTAGAATTTTGACTTGGGATAGTGGGAGCACATTCAATATTATTAGATCATTTTAAATTTGGGAGAAAAGAAACTCGTAGGTCTCCCATCCCCATCCCTACTACCTCCCAAACACAGAAACAAAATACAGCCAAATCTTGACTAGAGGTAATAAAATGTGTATTTAAGAAGACTGAAAAATAGGATAGGCCAAGTGTGGTGGCTCACACCTATAATAGAGGCCAAGGTGGGCAGATTGCCTGAGGTCAGGAGTTTGAGACCAGTCTGGCCAACATGGTGAAACACTGCCTCTCCTAAAAATACAAAAAAATTAGCCAACCATGGTGGCGGGTGCCTGTAATCCCAGCTACTTGGGAGGCTGAGGCAGGGAAAGTGCTTGAACCAGGGAGGTGAAGGTTGCAGTGAGCCAAGACTGCGCCACTACACTCCAGCCTGGGTAACAGAGCAAGACTCCATCTCAAAAGGATAAAGCACAAAATAATCAAGTTAAAGGCTTTTTGGTGTGATAGTTGTGAAAAAGTTATGGAAATAATATGTTAAGAATTTTCTTTTGGGCACTGTTTAAATGTACAATATTTAGAATAATCAGATTTTTTTTTTTTTTTTTTTTTGAGACGGAATCTTGCTTTGTCACCAGGCTGGAGTGCAGTGGCACGATTTCAGCTCACTGCAGCCTCTACCTCCCGGGTTCAAGCGATTCTCCTGACTTAGCCTCCCGAGTTGCTGGGATTTACAGGCTTGCGCCACCATGCCCAGCTAATTTTTGTATTTTTTAGTAGAGACGAGATTTCACCATGTTGGCCAGGATGGTCTTGATCTCTTGACCTTGTGATCTGCCTGCCTTGGCCTCCCGAAGTGCTGTGATTAAAGGCGTGAGCCACCGTACCCAGCCCAGAATATCAGATTTTTACACTGTTTCTACTTCAATCAATCTTCCAGAACTTTGAGAGGCAGAGGTGGGATCACTTGAGGTGAGGAGTTTGAGGCTACCTTGGCCAATATGGTGAAATCCTGCCTCTACTAAAAAAAAAGTACAAAAATTAGCTGGGCATGGTAGCACGTACCTACAGTCCCAGCTACTTAGGAGGATGAGGCACGAGAACTGCTTGAACTTAGGAAGGCGGAGGTTGCAGTGAGCCAGCCTGGGTGACAGAGCGAGACTCCATCTCAAACAAAAACAAAAACAAAGACAAAACAAAGAAGATGATCCTTGATAGGGAAGAAATTGTAAGAGGAGGCTCCACATCAAATGAATTATGGATAGAGGAGGCCCAGGAAGAGACTGCTTAAGGAGGGTAACTACTTACCACACCCCGATTGTTCTTCAGTTCACCATGACAGCACAAGACTCGAGAGCTGTCGATCAGAGAGTCTTTCTGGCCTTCTTCCAAGTAAAGAAGCCGCTCTTTATAATAGCGGCATTCTGATTCCCCAGTCTTGGTGTTGATTTCTGCCACTATTCCCTGAATGATGTTTATCTATGGAAACAGAGGAAAATTAAGTATGGAGGAAAGGAGCAAACTGTGCACACCGTCTTAGGGGCTCGGCCTAGAAGGTCACCAGGACACACCTGGATCTAATTCTGTTATCTAAATTGCTACTTTGGGAAAAGATAAAAAAGTAAAAATAAATGATTTTAGTATACTGCATCTATCCATCTGTACGCATACACACACACATTTATTTGTACACATATAAAGATATTTGTGTTATATGTAAAACTAATATTGATGTATAATTTTATCTGGGAGGAAGGGATAACTACTGAGCTCCAGGATGTACACTTCTTAAAACGTGCTCGGCCGGGCGCAGTGGCTCAAGCCTGTAATCCCAGCACTTTGGGAGGCCGAGGCGGGTGGATCACGAGGTCAAGAGATCGAGACCATCCTGGTCAACATGGTGAAACCCCGTCTCTACT